TGGCAATAAAGAACTCTATCCTTCAGGATAACATTATCCTTCACAGCTGGCTGCACATAAAGAGTTTACAGGGATAATTGGCGAAACATTACGTAAAATACACTACTTGATTTTCAAATATTCACTTGAATTATGAATTCTCAATAAGAAATGCGTTTACCGCCATCAAAATGTGCCATGTCAGTTGCGAAAATTCAGACAACAATAAATGTGCTCCGCGATATTCTTTCAGAAAGTTAAGTTGTAAGACTTGATACCGAAACACAAAGCACAAATTATAGCAAGATTGGTTGGTGGATTCTTATGGAAAGTGTTATAGCCTCGTCTTACTGCAGCGACAAACACGAATTCTTGTCCGGTGACACAACAAAGTTTTGTGTCGCTGATGCTGTCCCACTGTAATGACAAACACCCGCGACAAGCGCTGACAAGCGCCGAAAAACGATCGACGACGGACAAGGTCTTGTTTTTTGTTGGACTTGAAGCCCCGCCTGCAGTCCTCCCGAGGAAAACCCCTCGGAGACGAACTTCTCCTCACCCACTTGTACCCTCTGCTGCTTCGCTTCCCACCCTTCTACCCTTCCTCCCGTTCCTCCCGTGGCTCGCTTGGCTCGCTCAGCTGCTCGACCTCCTGAGAAGGCTTTGGAGGCCACTGATTGTTCCCGGAGTTCATGTTCCTCGATGGCCCGTAGCGCTCGTGGCTTGCTTCCTCGCGGTCGTGTTGCGTAAGGGGATTCGCTGTGGCTGGCTTTTCTTTCAAAAACCTGGTGCACGAGGTGGTCTTATAGATGCCGATATCTACGCCCCTACATGTAGGTGTATACGCCGACATTCGAGTACTGACCGAAGTAAGACCTTTCACCACAAGTAGGACACGACGCTCCGATAAACCACTCCGGCTGCTGAGAGACTTGCTATCACGTTCTATGATAGTCGGGATGCCGTATGTCCCCCTAGAAACGCCTGCCCTCGATCAATCTAATATAAACGTCCTCAAAATGACATGAAAATCCGTGACACTCACCTCTAATGCATCGAACGACCCAAAGAAACAACTATTGGGAAATTCTAGACCAGATAAAGTTTCATATCAATTGTCATGACGGTTTGCGGAAAAGCTATAGTATAGTTGTAAAGGCTCTAAATAAATTATGGAGGGTTAGTTCCTTCAATTGGTGACCCGGACGCGATCGAATCTCGATAGTTGTAGCGAGATGCTCTTCTTGCGGAACAAAGAGTCGATCGTAAGCAGCCATATTTCCGCGTCCGAGCCCAAAACTCTGGCAGCTTGAACTTCACAGATGGAGAAACGTCTGGAAATGCAGGAGAAGCACCGGTGGAGGCGCGAACATTACCGATGGAATATTTCATGCTCTGAGTGGTTGGTCAAAGTTGAAGTTAAGGGAATGGCAGGAGGTCAACTGGTGGAATGTCCGGCAGAATGCCCCTTTACGCTCTTTGAGTACGACGGAGTTGTTAATTTCTTACATTTTGGGCGGTTTGCGGTTGCAGACAGTAACGTCAGAGAGGATTTTCGTTGAAGGTTTCGTTCTTAAGACAAACTTTCATCTGTGTCTAAATGGATGTAAAAATTGAATTGTAAGAACTTCCATGTTTTTCGCTATCGAGTCCATGAAATTCATTGAAGTCTAAATGTAGAATTTTAGAATTTTATAAAGTGTACATTTTGTTTTCTTGAACATTTTGACCTCGAATTCAAGATAGTGACGTACTTGTTCGGTGCGGTCCGTTATTATCTGGGCAGCGCGACGTCGACACAACGGCGAAACACTCGTGGCCGAGATAATGGCGAGCCACGCAATACGACTACTACTTAATTCTAACCATTATTCCGGAAGTACGTTACGGCGCTTGTTGTTTGTCTGACCTAGTTTTTAAACGCAAAAAACGCAAAAAAATTATCGATGAGTATCTCGAAGCCCGGTGGAATTACAGAATTGTCGAATTAGGTTTACCCGCATACAATGATTGTCTTTAAAATTGAAGTGGTCAATTGAAACAATATTAAAAACATGATTAGTTTAGTCTGTTAACCAACTAATTGTGGCGGTTGGTTTCTCAACTAATGTATTGCAAAACTAAGAAATATACGGTGCAGACAGCGTAATCCTATTTTTTTTAAATATCACTGCATCAGTCACAACCTGTGTTCAGAAAACAGAAATGCATGATCTAACCAATATGATATTTCATTCTTATTTTTCGGCCAAATAATATTATTTTCATTATTCTCTTGTCTACCAAGTTATAAACATATCAAGTACTTCAGTAGTAGTCGCAGCTGACAGTTTTACGTCAGCAAACGTGTGTAGAGGATTTCTTCTTTCTTCACTGCTGATGCAATCAGCCGATTAAATTTTCAAAACGCTCCAATAAATTAAATGAAAAGACTTAATTAAAATATAATCCTCCTGAATCGCTACGGTACACTAATTCCAGTATTTCGGTTCTCACAATGCACAGCGATATATACCTGATTTCGCTTTCTTTTAACATTCTATATAGACCAAATAGACAAGTAAGTATTAAATGCAAAGTCACCATTTGTGAAGGGTAAAAATTAGTTCTGAAAAGTAAGTTTCAAAGAAAATAAATTGCTTGCATTTCCAAAATGGTAGTGAGGTATTTAGCGCACAATGTACCTACCCCAATTGTCAACTTTACCAAGACGGTAGAATTATTTTATTATCAAACTTTATGACCATTCAGTTCACCAACGTTCAGGGTTTGACATTTTCCAGATATCCATTTGCCACAGATTGTGATCAACATAGTTCTTACGGATAAAGAACGAGTATATTTTTCGCCCATATTGTGAACGGTGGATTATTGCTAATATTATAATATATATCATCTAATTCGAGCAGACGTTATGCCTACATGAGTCAATTCATAAATGCCTGTCGGACCCAAGATTTGGATGCTCCTTTTCTTCATGTAAACCAATTCTTTCTTTTGACGCATTCAACATTACGTTTCAAGGCAATCGTAATCTTAAATATAGCAAATGATGGCAGAAAAACTAATTTTGTTTCAAGCTTACCTTGAGAGTCCTTTCTATTTTCCTGGTTTGGGTATGTATATTTCAAAGTAAAGACTAGATTGCTTGCAGGCAATAAAGCAAAGAGAACTATATGGGTCAAAAGCAAAGCTAGACAGTAAAACAATTATATCCCTTCATATTAGCCTTTGTTCCTTTCTCAAAAAAATAAACTCTATGATTGGTTGCATAGCGTTCGAAGTATATATAATTGACGTTATAATGCCCACTTTATTCAGTTCTGGATTGCAAAAGTTTCGATATTTGCAGGTCGCGCATCTACGATGGCTGACCTTACTCAGTACTGGTATGGGGAATGACTGTGCTCGTGAGCAGGATACCAAACTTTATCGCCGGGTAAAAATTATGGGTTTACAACTGCTATCCTTCCACTGAGGTCGACCGTCCTCTCGTCACGGTGTGTAATTTCGAAGGCCACGCACCCTTTGTATAAGGCCATGATCAAAAGAAGCCCACTCATGTGAGAAAGCACGCCATAGCCCTTTTCTTTTTACTCGTATTTTGGCTTTCGGCTGTCGTTTCTGAAGGGCACGGCTGCGAACCTGGGCTCTAAACATTTACACGTTGATCATCTGAACTGGGCAGGTCTGGTGAATGCATAATGATGTTGTGCGAATTAACATAAGAACATCTCTTTTTTTTAAGTATATTTTCGAAAAGAGGCGTATTGCAATGCCTGGGTCGTGTTTTGAAGAGTGGTTAATGCGACGCAGATTTTAAATTTAAGGCTTTTCAATTTTGCTCATTGCGTTAGGACCTTAAATACCAGACTGTTGCGGTCTAAAACACTTGGGTGGTCATTTTACGCGGGGTGATAGTCAAATAAAAAACTTGCCATTGTTATTGTAGCTATTTCTTCCTATTAACATTAAATCAACTGATCATTCGTCCATTATTTGTTAGCGGGCAAGATATTGTTTTATCAGATATAAATAGAATGCAATGCTTAGACATTCACCATTCTAGCAGTGCGTAAAGCGCAGCGGCTAGGATGATTATTACCTCGAAAGTTTTTTGCAAGACTGATAGCAATAACAGGCAATAACTGGCGATAACAGGTTACGGGAATCTCATTGAATACTTGTGTTTTAACCGTATGCTTTAACATGCTTCTTTCAGATTGCGTTAATAGATTACACATCGCGATTTGTTTAACTTTGAGGTCGGCTGGCATCGTACCGTTAGCTGTTGCTTCTAAATTTATTTAGCAAATTTTAGCACGTACTCTCGTAGAATTTTTCATAACCCGTTCGCAAAAAGTAGACAATGTTGTGTATTGTATAAACATGTAAGTCACTGTTTATGCAAGCGTTCTTTTTTTTCTGATTTAAAGATATATTATTTTTATGTACACAATTTTTCCTTCCAAGCTACAAACTAAAAGCAGAAAAAAGCAATTCCCACTGTTTTTTTTTCTTCCATAATATTCCACTGCTTCTCTATTATAAGTAGCATTACACACTATAGGCGAGTTACTAAAAATGTCAAAAAACGACAAGAGGTTTTTATTTAAAGAATGTATATATAATAGTTGTGCTTCCTGACTATTTTTACTAAAATTTGCAAAGTGTGACTTTCGCCTGTTCACCATATCTTCAACCAAGATATACTACCTTTTTTTTTACGAATCCTAAGCTACCGGTAGTGGTTGATGCGTGCTTTCTGCATATTAAATTTGCTCTATCAAAGAAACGCTCTTCTCCTGGTGAACCACAACGTGGCAGCGACTACGGTTCTCACGCGGTACTATCAATGTCAGTATTTGCTGAGAATACAGTCCGAATGAAAACTTTGACGCATACCGACACCGATAGGAGCGTTATTGTATATTATGTTCTTATTAATGTTTAGCATCCCAAAGTGATATGTAAGGTATGAGTAAACGTCAAAATAATATTATCGAACTCTTATTTTTCAGTGCCTTCCTCTCCGTCCTCGCCTTTGTACTGGCGTTGAGCACAGCAATTGATCTCATTCACAAACATCGCTATGGAAACGATGGGTCTCGAGGTAGGTAACTGGAAATGTGATTGATTTTATTATGTTCAAATACATGCCAGAAACAGTTTTCCAACCGTAAAACAGATTGTGTAGGCTGTGTTTTGTGTCTGATTCATATTATAAATAATACAGCGGTATCTAAGGGAAACAATTAAGTACCCTTTGTCTGATGGAAGTATCTTAGTATGCCTTTTAATAAAAAGACAGCGCACTTTAAATTAATAACAAGAAAAAACTCCCCAGAGCACTGTATAGTTACCGATATTCTTGAACCTGGGTTGGAGTAAACGCTGTGTTTGTGTCCCTTTCCTGTCTTCGTCTTTTGAGCTTAAATAGTTTTCGTAAACAATCCCTCGAAACTGTAAACAAAAATCTGAAAGTAGGAATTATTTCACAGGCTACAAATTTTAACACTGGTCTAGGAATGATCTCCTCCTTGTCGAGGAGTGAACACTTTTTGAAAATGTAAAAATTCACTTGTACAATCATATTGTATTTTCTTAGGAAACGATAATGCCTTTGAGGACTCCGTGCATATTTTGCGTTATTGTTCTAGAACTTACGAAATAGGAAATATGACACCAAAGTGAATCTGACTTGAAACGTGCACGTTGGAACAAAACAACATACATTTCACAAATGATAGGTAACAATTTTTTCTCCTTTTCGATGATTAAATGCCCGCATTTTAAATATCATATTTGAACTCCACATTGATCTCCCGCATTTCAAGTATATCCTAATGCAATTAACAATTAAAAATTTTTCCCAAGGCTGCCAAAAAGTGTCGCGATGTGGCTTTAGCATGCGTGACAGATTGCGCTGTCTGATGTTACTTCACCAGTAATGTGCTTAATAAATTGGGCCATAGTAACGCGTATGCTTATTGCCCATGTGCCTGTATTGAGCGCAGAGACAATTAGCGGGCTATAGTTGTGTGTTTATTGTCTGTGTATATTTGTGCACATATCCCTTCCTGAAAAGTCGTCTTTCGGTAGGCGCATCTGTAAAATCAGTGATTGGTTATCTAAGTGCAATTCAGCAATTAGAGTAAAAGCATCTGTTTCATCATGCAATTCGAAGACTGCAGCAAGTAAATATTTTCACTTAATATTATGTCACAATCCCCAAAAGGAAAGAAAGGTCAAATTAAAGAGTAGTTTATTTTAAGTTGGCATAGCAAATCCACGAGAGTAAAATGAAAAAAAAACAAGCTATTAGCTTTTATTGTATTATTGACTTTTAAGGTGGCACTTAAGACTGGACACGTATCATCGTTCGTTTAATAAGAAAAAAAAAGTGCATATCTATTTTTTTTTTGTTGTGTGGTGTTTTTTTATAATATCAATATTTGGCTTGCCGGGCTGTATTTTTAGAGCGCAACTCTTAGGGGCCTTTTTCCGGCTTGAGCGGCTTCGGCGTAGCCGTCGCCGTTGGCGAAACCGCGAGGTCACGTGACCCCCCAAGTTCACGTGAACCCTCCAGTTCACTTGACCCGCCCCCCCCGAAGTCACGTGACCCCCGTAGTCACGTGACCCCCGAGGTCACTGGCCCCCCTGAGGCCACGTGACCCCTCTGAGGCCACGTGAACCCCTGAGGCCACGTGGCCCCCTGAGGTCACGTGACCCCCCCTGAGGTCCCGTGAGCCCCCGAGGTCACGTGACCCCTCAAGGTCACGTGACCTCAGAGTCACCTATCCCTCACGACGCTTCCATCCTCCTCCTCAAGAGCTGGGCTCTAATCCGGCGTCACAGGGAATTGTAAACGGCTTTCTTTTTTCATATATTAAACCCCGGACTAACCTCCATGACTATGGATCCTACAGCGGTTGTATATTGGTATTAATTATATGAAAATCCTAATAATTAAAGGCATAGGCAAAGTTATAGATCAAGTTCCGAGTCAACAATTAAAAAGCATTGGATAATAATACCTGATTGTCTAAAACATTTGTAGGGAGTCGGGAGATGAAAACAAAACCCCAGACAGATGCCTAGAAATTACGAAGCAAAAGACGCCGTTTAAATTAGCTGCTCTCTGCGTTTCCCAGCTTTTGACGTTAGAAACGTTCACAATGCTTTTGAGCGTGATGTTTACTAGTCGTATGATCTGACGAAGAAATATTCTGAACTGTAAAATTCCGATCAGTATTTTTTTATATATAATGGCGCGTATCGGTATTTTTTAAACAACCGCTTTGTGAATTTATATCTCGTGACTTCATTTACTGGCAGTTTACTAACAAAAATATGGGAGCCGCGTCTTTTGTTGTGTTTTAACAGTAAACAGGCAAATTGTTAACAAACGCTGGGGGTTAGTGTTCCTATAAGAGGTTTATACGAAAAGCGTTTTTTTCTAGTATTTGACGTAATTTCAGTCTATCGTTTCTAACAAATTGATTTGTTTTGGAAATACATCGCTATTTAAAGTGCTCACAAGATGTGATATTATTTTTACCGCAGGAAAACTGGTCCAGTACCTAACGGCCTTCTCCCTTCCTGCGAGCACAAGAACTTTGCTGTCTGTAAACAGGGACAAGCAGTCGGACGCTTACAAGCTTCGCTTCCTGCACGGAATCCGGTTCTTCAGCATCGTCTGGGTCGTCCTTGGCCACTCATATAGCACCTTCAACTTCACCAACGTCTGTGAGTAGTTCTCCAATCCCTCAAATTGATAAATTTTAGTATGTATTATAGTTGAAAAATCACACGTATTAGGCTGCAACGCATCAAGTTTGTTAGTGTGGCATGGTTAACATAACGACAGCAAAAGGATATGGAAAGAAGCGCAGGATCAGAAATTATTACTACCATTCAACTATATTCAACTATGTCGGAGACCTATTCGACAAGGTCATGAAAGGCGCCTGAAGATGGTTCGCTTTGCCCAGGCACATATTGCTAGGTCATCAAAATAGATGAGTCTTTTTTCTATTCCCTCCCTATAAATGAAGCCCCTGCCGCGAATCATTTCTTAGTAGCACCAAATTTGCTGCGACGGCATATGGGACTTTTGTATCGGTGGAGACTACCTACATACACAACGCTGCGTCTGTGCTTACTTCATTTCTTGTACTGCAATGTTTTTGCGCCTTTTCACCGCACCCATTAAAAAAATACTGAAAAATAGAAATATTTACTGGATGGTCACAAATAAAATGTAAACAAAGCGGGCCTATTGCTAATGGTTATTAGCAACCAGCTTCATGTCGTCCTAGAAAAGCTCTAAATATGGCAAATTATTTTTTGTTTCATGCTTGTAAAATTTTGGCAGATATAATGAATATTGTGCAGCCTATGGACTTGCATTTGTAAGTTAGTTGCCTTTGCATAGTTTTATATAACAAGACACACATGTCTCATCATATTTCAGTGTTCATTGATTAGGAGAAATATAATGATGAACATTTAGGAGACTAAAGTCCGAATGCAACTGCTAGGAAAAAAACGGTGTTTTATACGCCTGAATATAGGTGCAAATTAATTATTAAAATCTCCATGCGTGTGAAGAACATTGCTAATCTGCACCACTGCTCGCTGTTTTCTAGTGCATGGTCATCCGGAGCCTAGTTTTCTTCATTCTGCAATAATTGCTTCTGGAATAACTGGAAGGACTAAACGACGCGCAGATTTCGTTCTTAAAAAAGGCATGCAGTAAACGTGAATGTTGGGCTGTTACTCCTGTTAGTTCGAAAGTGCATAAAAGATCGTCTAAAATGCAACAAAAGATTCATTTCTCATATATACCTTTTTTAGCTGCTGAGATACTTTAGTAATTTAGATCAATTTTGCCACAAATGTTGAGCTTTAATTCGATGCTCAGTGGATAAAAGAAGACTGCAGCGTTCTCACCACACAACAATTGAAGTTAGTTTATCGGTTAATTATTCCGGTCCACGCTGCACGTGTCTTGTTTAACAGCGGGGTATTGTTCAAGCATCATTGTTTGTATGTTTTGGTGATGAAACGTTTAAATTCAAAGCTACAGACCGTGTTTAGAGATATTAATTCGTTTTGTTTACATCCAGGTACCTTTCTATGTCCATATGTTAAGCCTTAAAAATAGCGCGCGAGGTTTTTTTTAGTTTTACATGATGCTCGAAATAATTAGACGCGCAACGGCTCCTTTTATGAAAACGACACGATTGAATGTACATCAACACGCACTACAACTTGTTTGTAGTACGTTTTGAGCATTACGTATTATTAAAAAAATACAGCTATTTACTCTGTGTTGATTAGCCAGTTTGAACCATCGCAAAAGTTATATTATTTTGCTCTGTTGATCTGTCGACAATACTATATCTCCGTTCCTCTCTTATACCATGCGCCAAAGTTTTTTTGTTTTTGAGTCTTAGAACAAGTTTGCTTTAACAACCTGTATTGACTAGCAAAGGACAAAAGTATCGACAAAATTGCTTGGAAGCATGCACATGGGTATTTCGGGAAGCGTTGATGTAGCACTTCATTATTTGTCAAAGCATCTAAACCAGTGCGCCTCTCTGTCTTTCTTCTCCTCAGCCCGTCTGGTCAATGCACTTCACTATGGGGACAACATCACATTCTGCTTTATAATGGCTGGCTACCTGAGTGTGGACACTTTCCTCTTTCTGGCGTGAGTATTCTTATAAAACGATATCCCCGAAGTTTTTATTTCAAGGTTTGCATGTAGCACCCAAAAATAATAGTTATAAAAAGAAATGTTAAATTGTATTTAACCCGTAAAGCAGTCAAAAACGAATCACCCATTTTTTTACGTGTGAAATTCTTGATAGAATTAACTCTATCACACCTGGCTAGTGAGCGTAAAACGTTCATTGACTAAGTGCTCGCCGTTTCGTAAAGCCCAAAAGTGAAGCCGAGGTAAAAGCGTGGCCGCGAGGCTCGATACTGATTGGTTGCCGGGTGGGAGAGGAGGAGTGACGTGCTCGAAGCTGAATGGTTTTTGGGGAGGTCTTGTGACCGGGGATGGAGTGAGGAGGAGAGGTATGCGAGAAGGTAAGGTGGGAAAGAAGGAGTCTGTTGACAGATCATCAATGATCACCAGGTTTTTCTTCTCAAGTGTATGTATGCCACTTGTTAAATTATCTCATGAAGTGCGCTGTGAATGTAGGCGTCTGTCTGAACAGGGTAGATGTGCTGCTAAACCAACTTTTAAGACTGAAGACCAGCTACTCACAATTACATACATAAAACGCAGAATATCGATACATGTTTCTGATGCTAGAAGATTTCATGCATTGAACACAATTACCTGGAAGTTTACCATACGTATTTTTTATAAGGAACAAAGCAGAAAATGATTTCTTTTCACATTATAGAGTTTTCGCCATGGGAAAACAGTTAAGGCATAATCAATATGAATCACTGAATCTACTGAATCACTAATATTCCACCCCATTTTTTCGAATAAAACGCTACCTGTTACTCAATTATACCAATATTCTATTCGGTATAGTCGCATGGAGCGTACTTAATAAGGTAATGTGTGAGCTTCAGTGAGCTTTATTGATTGAGGACAGTTTAATGGTGTGGTGCCATTAGAAACTAGCAAGCAATGAAGCTATTATATTGGTCAATCATTGTCTGCGCTGGCACGTGTATCGATAAATAGACACAAACTGTTGCAAATCTCGAACAAAATCGTTCATCGAAAACGTTTTATCAATCTCAGTGGTATCGAAAGCCAACTGTCTGCGGACATATCGGCCTCCTTGTCATTCCTTGCTGAGAATGGAACGGTTTGGCACATAGGATATGTATTTTTTTACGTGTCTGCATGCTTACAACGACAAATTCAACTGGATGTCTTGTAAGCCATTGGAGCGCTCATTGTGATAGCTTTCAAAGCTTCCCAGTTCAGAAGCTGTGAAATCGCCACAAAGGTGAAGGACAAAAAGGCAAGGATAAAATAAAGTCAATGTGCAGGCTATTTTTTGTTTCAAATATGTAAAGCAATAAATTACTTACCGACATTGTAAAATGTGGGCGCTCATTTTATTTGCGGCTGATAACCAGCGAATGGTATGTTGTAACACAGGTAAATTAAACGATGTAGAACAGACAAACGACGATAATCAGCATAAATTGAAGCATGTGCCCGGCAATATTAGAAATGGGGTATTGAAAGTAGAAGCACAGAACACTGGACCACAAGAGATGACTACTGAACAGTGGGACGACTGGTAGAAGGTGATGCTTGAATCAAAATAGGCAGCCAGGCAGCTAAGTAATTACCTTCGGCGATTGAATAGACATTAACAAGACTACCGTTTCAAGCACTAACGAAACCAGTGCAAACAACCTCTCCACCAGGTGATTGACGTTTGTTTGGAAACAGCTCCAAGTGAATTAATTATGTGCTTGAACTTGTTTCGGTGCCACACCCCTTTAACCTGGGCCTTTTAAGGATTCCATGGTGATTAATCAAAACGTAGTCTTGAAAATCTAAGTACATGGTTAAGATCTGCCTTTTAAGCATATCATGTGTAGTTACTGCAAGTTTACTGATAGATAAGTCATGCTTTGTAGGACAGCATATGTATATCTAGTTTAGAAATCCGTCTCTTTCTATTTCTTTCAGGCGTAGCTCTTATTTCGTCGCACTAATTTTAAGTTAAGCCCTGGTAGATGAGTTAACTATAATGTCATGTGCAAAAACTCAAAGTTAGTTTGCGCATAAAGCCTAATTTTTCGCAAAGGAGAAAAACCTCTCTGCTTAGAGAAAAAGCACTGCACAATATCGTTAACAACATTGCGTACTGAATATGCCGTGATTTGTGTAGCTGATTACCTGTGTGTTTTAGCGATGTCCTCATTAAACCAACATCTCAATAAGGTTCTTTTAAAATTTATTCAATCCTCATCCACAACGTAGTGGACGATCTAAGTTAATGTTAATTTCCAGATTGTTGTTCGAAATACACCAAAGTGTTCCAGACCTTCACCTTATATAACGTAGCGTGTTCCCCTGCTTCGCACCATAACCTAAGGCTATGAGCAAACACACACACACACACACACACACACACACACATATATATATATATATATATATATATATATATATATATATATATATATATGTCATTGAAGGTGTGCGGAAAAATTAATTTGTGACAAACCACCAATGTCTACCTGTACAAAAATATCCGGTGTACGTAATGCTCTAACAGAATCATAAAGGTTATCGATGATATTTTCATTGGCATACGATGCGTTGCAATTCGACATTGTGAGTCACAATTATCTATTACGCCTTTTTTCAGAGGCTTTCTTCTGACGTACAACTTGATGAGAGAACGCGCCAACGGATTTGTTGGAGGATGCATTGCTTTAGTCCGGCGGTGGATCAGGTAAGAGTTGCAAAAATGTTTAAGGTGTAGTGGTCACGGTGTCCTTGGTGTAACAATTGTTTATTGGAATATCTACTGCATGAGATTGAAATGTCTAATTGTTTTATAAATACAACTCCTAATGAATCGTTTTAGTATGATGCCGTTTAAAATTGCACCAAAGGCAGCGACAATAATATATATAAATAGTTATTCGTGCATGATGAAGAGTACGCATGTGATGCATCTTTAGGGTACTCGCTATTCTGCTTTGCAATTCTATCTCGTATAGTGGTTAGCGCGAATACCATTCTGGAGTGTTATTTTTCTTCCGAGAGCTGTGAATCGCGTCACTATAATTAGGTGCTATGCGGAAAGCAAGGGGTCTGTTTCTTGCGCAGGGGTTGCGTCTATGTCAGAACTGCGAGCTCTTATTGGCTGATTGAAATTAATAGAGGGTAAACGTCGAGGCATCTAGCTTTGAGGTCTACTCACTATTTTTTTCAATCAGCCAATAAGAGCTTGTTAGTCGTTCTGAGGTCAACACAACAGCTTCGCAAGAAGCAAACGACTTGCTCTCCGCATCGCTCGACACAAGTTTTCTATTAAGTTCCTTTTTATATTTCTTTTCGTAAATATGTTTAATATTCCTGATAGTCCTTTCATTGATAGCCCTGAAAACATTATTACAATCTTGTAGCAACCATTATTAGCTTTACTACAGTGGCTTCTTGTTGTAATATCTAGGGGAAGGAAAGAGCGCATTTCCAAAAGTACTGGAAGTGACATTTAAAAACTGAGGCCGTTTACAACTCCCCGTAACGCCGAATTAGAGTGCAGCTCGTGAGGAGGAGGAGGCAAGGGTACTGAGGGTCACGTGTTCTCGGGCGGCGGGGAGGGGTCACGTGACCTCGGGGGGGGGGGGGGGGCACGTGACCTTGGGGGTCACGTGACATGGGGGTCATGTGACCTCTGGGGAAGGGAGGTCACGTGACCCCCCCCCTTCCCGAGGTCACCGAAGGCACTTGAGGTCCTCCCGAGGTCCTCCCGATGTCCTCCCGAAGGAACCCGAGATTCTCCCGAGGTCCTCCCGAAGGAACCCGAGGTCCTCCCGAAGGAACCCGAGGTTCTCCAGAGGTCCTCCCGAAGGAACCCGAGGTCCTTCGGGAGGACCCTGGGTTCCCTCGGGAAAATTTACCCATAATGCGCCGCGCGGTTGCGCCGACGGCGACGACGACGGCGACGCCAATGCCGCTCATGCCCGAAACGGGCGCCTAAGAACTGCGCTCTAAAACATTCAAAATAACAATAATTGGCACCAAATTTGGGGCTACCGCGTGTCCCAAGTTGCGGCCAGGGTCTTTAAATCCACCGCAAAATTCGGTTTCTTAACCTATCGCGCTACGATTTTGTGCAGCGTTGACCACAGATGGTGCATTTTTTTTTTTAGTAAAATTTGCAAAGAGCGAACTTGTTTGAGGAAAGTGTAGAGAAAGAAAAAGGGTTAGCTTCTATGGAAACGCAGCGAAGCCACCGGTATCCAAACAATATGGCGCCGTTTCGCACGGGAGACAAGAGATGGAGCAAGCGGTCGCGGCGCCAAGTGCCGCCAACGAACGAGCATACGGCACCTAGAGGCGAATTTTTTAGCAGTCGATCGTTTCGACTTAAATGCGGCGCGCGTTCCGCAGGCGGCGACAGTCGCAGAAACAAAAACATGCACGGTAACAACAAGGAACTGCAAAGCAGACGACACAAGTACCACTAAAAATAACTGCTTAAAGAAACCGACAAGCCATTTTTTATCAATTATGTGTGCATTAAATGTGTTTTATTAGTAAGGATAATAAAATAATACATTGGCAACTGATATTAAAAAAGCTCGCGCCGCTTTTGTGTCAAAAAGATAGTCTGCTAAAGACGCCAGCTCTCGGCGCCGTATGCTCGTTCATTAGCGGCAGTTGGCGTCGCGACCGCTTGCGCCATGTCTTGTCTCCCGTGCGACACGGTGCCGTATTGTTTGAAGACCGGTGGCTTCGCTGCCTTTCCATAGGATCTATGACTTTTTCTTTCTTTACTTTTTCCTCAACTAAGTTCGCTGTTTGCAAATTTTACAAAAACAAAATGCACCATCTACACGCAACGCTGCACAAAATCGTAGCGCGAGAAGTTAAGAAACCGAATTTCGTGGTCGATTTAAAGATTCTGGCCGCTACTTGGGACAACCGGTATAAACAAAAAACAACTTCGGTGCAACTTTCTTGTTTTAAATCTAATCGTTTTTTGTTACCACGTTTGTAATTTTATTATGTTTAAAAATCTAGTAGATAATGATGAAAAAACAAATGTAGGAAAGAGTGCAATGGGCATGCACAAAACTCAGAATGAATTGCAAGCTTTTTCCGCGACACATAATCAAATTCGAGCAGTATGCAATAGAAATATGGTTTATCTAATCCAGAAGGAGCTCATTGCAAGAGTCGCTGTATTCTTTTTTCCGCAGGGGTACAGTGCCGCTCTTCTTCGCTATTATGTGCACGTTCCTGTTGCCCCTCTTCGTCAATGGACCCAACGCAAAAGAGATTTTTAACAATTTTTATACGGAGTTCAGAAACCAGTATTGGGCGCTTCTGCTTCAGATTCGGAACTTCACGAAGGAACTTCACATCGTAAGTGATACACTAGAGTACATAACGAAAAAATGAGGTTGTTTGGGGACATACACCGTGCTAGAACAAATAGTAGTAATACAATTTTAATAATTAAAATAAGGCACGCTCACATATGAATATTTAATGATCACCGTCAGAAATTAACTTTTTGACATAAAATAGGTTTAATACGCGTGTAATATTTTCCTGCGTACACACAATCACGCCAGTTGTATTCAAGATCTAGCGTTCACGTTCCTACTTAATGCAACTAACTTTGCGTCAGATGATAATTGAAAAACAAAGCTTCCGACCCCAATTGCCATTGTAACTCATAAAGACGTAGTAAAATGCTGCTGGAGGCTCGATTTGATTTGCAAAATAAAAGTGGCCAGCATGCGCATAAAGCAATTTTGCCGGGATGTTGAAAAGAACAAAACAATGTTCTAATTTCGTGTTACCTCTGACTGATATCGCGAAGACTACGACAATACGCTTGGCATTAGGATTGAAGGCGAAGCTATAAGCACAAGCATGTTGCCCTGAACGACGCTTATACTGCACGAGCGTGTGTGTTCGCGACGCCGTCTGAATGCCCGGAGCTCTTGATTGCAGCACCTGCTACGCCAGCGCTTAAAGTGGACCGCCGTATATGAGGCGGGGGGGGGGGGGGGGGGGGGGGGGGACAAACTAAACACCCGAGTGGCACACAACCGAAAAATAGGGGATAAATTGTTAAAAAGAAATGAACACAGAAAGTTCGACTTCAATACAATTAAGTATAACCGAAATATATGATAATGGCCGTGCTAATACACTTCGGTTGTGCATTAAAATAAGACACATGGCAGGAGTGCTGTCGAATGCGTAGGACACATGAGCATCACAAACAGGGATGTATGCATTCACACTTTGTGCAGTCCTTGTGTATTTATTGTGCTTTTATTTCAGGGAATGTACGGCCACCTTTGGTACATGTCCACAGATTTTCAGCTCTTTGTGATAACGGTGTTCATCCTTCTGCTCTTCAAGAAGTAAGTAGATCCTTCAATGGATATTGATGTATCCCACGCTGTTTACCGGTACTGTATCTACCGTTTGTTTTTCAGTGACTGGGGATATTAGTGTTTTAGCAGATCGTTTCGAGGACCCCGATAACGACACTCCATATCAAAACAATCCTCTAAATCTCTACATATAAAAAATTTAACCTAAAAAAAACATTCCTTCGTGAATATTATATTTATAGCAGAGGCCCCTTTGTATATTTTAAGACAAACTTGAACAAATGATCTACTTCAAATTTCGTAATTACCTTTTTTGAAGTATTTGCTTTCGCTGTCGCATTGCAATTATACATATTTCTTGCCCCTCCACAAAATGTTGGAATAGTTGCTGTAAGAAATTTAGACAAAAAAATTCTGCGCCGTGTTCTTCTTTCGCTAGTTTAATCCCAGAGGAAGCTTATCAGTCGAAGCCATCCTATAACAGAGCGACGGAAGTATCACGCGAATGAGACGTTCACCTCCGTACCTGAAAGATTATGCTCGTAACTTGGAAACGCGTACGTAAAATAGTGACGTACACGTGCCTCTTTTGCATATGAATGTTTGCCAAAAGCAAACTTTCGTTCAAGACTAGGCGCGAACAGAAGAATAGAATTTATATTTTTTCGTAAAAGTGTTCCAAAAGCCGGGATTCATGATTACAGAACAAATACCTCCGACTTATATAACGATGTCAACAATTTATGAGTAGACGTTTCGTCTCTCGTGCAGGAGACATAATCAGTGCAGGATAACCTGACTAGCTGCCAGCAACCAAACGCTTGCTTTGTCCTTCAAAGCAAGTGTTTGTTTGCTGGTAGCTAGTCGGGTTGTTCCTTTGACTAGCGCAAAATGAATTAGTTTCTAAAAACTGCTCTAGCTTATTTGTACGACTAGTACCAAATACATAATTAAAATGGGCCAAATAGTCGGACTTAAAGAAAAATAATAATGAGTCGATTTGAGTTAAATTTGATCAAAATTATAACTCTTCATTCCTACACTGACATCCATCGCTGTCGGTGGCGTCCCTTCAAAGGAATAAAAATTATAGTATTTGAATTGACAATTTTCATTCATTCTTAGGCGTTGGTCAAACAGCCCGTTTGCATTCAGGCAAGGTGTGCTTTCAACATCGATGTAGGTCGAGATATTTAATTATAACGTTTTAGACAGTGCCAGTGTGCTTCCAATGTACTTTAATATTTTGTTGATTGCGAGGTATTACAATTCAAATAGTTTTAAAGGCATTTCGCATGATGTCTGCAGCCTGCCATCCCGCTGAGCATGTATATGGATGGAGATAAAGGATAGACACTGAACAACGAGGCAGAAGTTATCAATCATTATAAAATACCGTAGAGCTCAAGGTAAACTCTTTTATGGGTCGCATAGCAACAAATACTGCATTTTCATGAACTAATCATTTATCGAAATGATAGGCTATTTGATAGACTACTTTTGTAGACTATTTCGTGGTTAACCACAGTCCCTAGAAGGCAATGGATAGATATATAGATCTTGTTCAAAAATAGTTCGAGACACAATTTAGCACATGGGTACTTTTTATTTACGAGACAATATTTGTAGGTATTTATATTTAAACTTTTTCGTTATTACAAGGTAGTTAGCATGGTGCAAAGCCCCGTTATCAAGGCTTGAATTACTGTGGTCACTTGTTGTTCGGTGTCTTAAGAAAGTAAGTATTGTATATATGTTACTAAAAAAACTCCATCTTTCTAGGAGATTGTGGACTGCCGTCACCGTCCTCAGTGTGCTGTCATTGATTGCCTGCTCCATCTCCATGTGGGAGGTGCATAACACAGTGTACACTCCATTCGTGCTTCCTATGGCTGATAATTTCACGTAAGCATTTTATTTATTTTTAGAAATATAAATATTGATCAAACAAAAGGTTTATTTCCTATAGTGGCTTGCGCATGCCAATGCACACATTTGGCGAGCAATAAAGAGACATACACGGACTCTGTAGCTGCAGTAACGCCGAAGAAAGTGCCACAACACAGGCGGCAGGCCCCTTCCGGCGTGAGGCGGTCGTGTTTTACGCCGTTTTGGTCAATGGCGTTTTGTCCTTTGGGCCAAGGTTTGGTGATTGACGAATATTATACTTCCGCTCACACATAAGCCAAAGCGCAGTCGACGCCATGAGTTAAGGGAGGCGATCAAGCATCGTTAGAATTGCAACGTCACGACATTTGTTGTCTTTCTGTGCACGTTCTTGAAGCAATCAAGCGCAGTGCGTGCGCCATGAACTCTGCGCGAACGCCTTGAAGTACAGTGACGTACAGTGAAGTACAGTGAACCGAAATATACGCACCTTTTGCAGTGTTCCCCAGCACTGGCGTGGTTGAGTAGCTGTGTGTGCATCCCAAGAATTGGTAACTTAGCCCTTTCTCCTGCCGCATCTCAGCCGCAAAGTAGGTGCCACCACCTAGTTTGCGGCCAGTGCTCAGCGGAATTAAGGTTACCTCCGTAATGCAATCCCAAATGATGGGTATGTCTCTATGATCAGTGCTTATAAAACGCCTTGAGACACTCAACATAGCGTGAAACGAACAAACCTACGATAGGAGGGGAGTGGCATCATGTGCCTGTGAGATGGTAAACACCGAAATAATCACAATCATTTACGGACTAGTATGATGTAAGACGCGTATTTTCTAGATATGAAAAATAAAACTCCATAACAAAAATGGCGCAGTTTAGGTGTACTACACTCTAATGTTTGTCTTTATTCCCGTAACACGATAGTAATTTTATTTTTGTTGTTTTTCGTTTTAAACGGTGTCCCTACTTTAGCTTCTACTTCAGTGACTCCTGCGTAGAGTGTTGAACATTTAATTCATAGCAGGTTAATTCCAATATTTGTCAAATTCCTCCCTATCTGAGAGAATCTCACTGCGGTGAAATCGTACTGTAACCGAGAATTAGCTTAAACTTTTAAAGTTACACTGTTTTCTAAAGTAGTCCTCTGTCCTCGTTTTCGAGCGTGAGATATTATATATTTTTTTAATGTGAACTACGCATTTTGTATTACTTTCTATTAAAGAGGATCATAGCTCCTAATGCAATATGTCTCATTTTTCAGGGTTTCCGTCGGCACCTTAAACGAGGTGTACACTCATCCGTCCTACCACGGAGCCGCATTCTTCCTTGGTGCTATAACACAACTGCTGCTTATCAAGTACAGCTCTGTGAAAATCAGCAAGGTAGGTGCCCTTGGAGGGTGCCTTATTTCTCATTGAATTAGTAGATCATACCAATGTTGTTGTTTTTTTGTTTTTTTTAATACATAATTGATTGTATAACATATTTGGTAACCTCTCGTGAACACAGATCACAACGGCAATCTCAGATTCCTCTCTACGTTCAAGCACACTTACCACAGCTGCGCAGAGAAATTGAGTTGTGATACTAGGAAGCCTTACCCTTGACAGCAATTAAATGTTAGACTTGGAAGAGAGTGAAACATGATTAGCACAACGTATGTAGACACGGCGAATAAACATTTCTTGGTGATTTCACTGACGTTCATTGGGCTAGCAAGCGGCGATAAAACCGCATAAATTAAACGGCCACTGCTTCTTTTCATATTTGGATCACACTGAATGTCCCTGAGGCCTATAACTTCGCCTGACGTTTAGCAGTACAGCCAAGAACATTTTTGTTTATAGATTTAGTATTAATATTTTAGCTGATTGTCTTTTAAAAGATAAAAATAAGCCCTTTTCATGTCTTTCTACTTCAACATACTAGGTGGATATAATGTGCGTTATTCCCGTCAAAGTTTTTAGTAATCCTAATATTTAGATTTTGTTCGTTCGTCATAACTCGCACAAAGGTACGTAGCTCATACCATCGAGGCCTTCGCCGCTGCACCTTATAAAGTGTGATGAGGTGATGTACGGATGCCAGAGAGGTGCTCACGATTTTTAAATGGAGCGTAGGGAAGGGTGTGAGGAGATGCCGGTGCGGGTTATGACGGCCATGCGTTGATTAAATCGGTCATTACTGGGTCGTTCGTCTCTGTAGCTGATCTCACAATTCAAAATTTGGCGGCTCGTGCTGCAGCTCTTTCAGTAAACGTGAATCTGGTAGAAATACTGACGAATTTGACATGCTTGCGTCAGTGTATTGTGTCGTGTAATAATAATTCTAAGCTTTGAAGTTAGACCTACCTAAAGAACTACCCAAAGAACGACCTAAAGAACGACCTAAAGAACCACAATAGAATCTTAGGCGTCCCTTAGTATTAGCCATTTAGCAGCCGAAGGAAACATGCACACAATGTGTTAAATATAGTGAGGCGGCACACGCTGTGCTCACCACAACTCAACTGACTATGACAAGCCCTGCGCTCTTAGGTTCGGAGTGTGGTTAAAATGCCGCAAGGACAATCGAGTAAGATTCGATACTGTCTTTCAGACGCCTCAATGTAAAGTCAACCTCTCACTTAAATGGCACACAGATAGCTATATGTATATATGTTTACTCAGGAGGTCACAATGCATAGTGAAGTCTTCCAGAGGATAATGAGCACGACCGATCCGTCACCTTCATTGGCCAGAACGAAAAACAAAGATTGACACAAATTTATGAACTAACAGTTTCAAATTGGGTGCTTTAAGCGATCAGCGGCTGGAATGTAAATACAAAAATAAGGCGAAGAAAGAAGACGCATTTGTAAAGCGCTCGGCGCTATAATAATCTGATCCTCAAATGAACCCCTGAAAGATGAGTACTACGTAGATTATTATTATCCAGTTATTGCCTTAAGTGACTGATGAAAAGCTGCCAATACGAAAAGTCAGAAGTTTCCTAGTCAACGCCTGAAATTTCTCTATTTCAGCCAAACTTTCCCTCGCTTGCCCAAATTATTACATAATACTAAATATTGGTGCTTTCTTTTCACCGGTTCCATTTTTACAATGAGAGATATATTATGGAGCTTTTACGGTTTGCATACGTTTCGCAAAAATCAGTTCATCCGGCCAAAAAGCGGCGAAAGCAAATCTGGCGAGGGGAAGTGCTACCGGGAGTTTCAAACCTTAGGTGATATGCACGCCATCAGAACATGGTACTGCTTAATACCTTCAAGGGCGCGTTTTATAATATTCAGTCCAAAACTCAAGGTGGAACACATATGAGAGTTCTCGTATTTGAACACAAGGAACACGACACACAGTGACTACCATTTTGCGCACGGCATTTCACGAAATATTATTAGTCGTGGTAAGTCTGCAATGCTGCATCTCCAGACATCACAATATTTCTTCTTGTACTCAGGCTTTCTTTTTTGAGAAGCCACAGCGGCGTTTTCAAAAGATTCCACTTGGCTGATCCTTTCCTCCATAGCTTTCACGGGGGCGATGAAAACAGATGAAGAATTATTTAGCTGAAAAGAGTTGTTCCCGTGCTCCTCAGTGTTTCCAGATAGTCGCACAACAAACCACCAAACGGCTGGAGAGAATAGCATAAATGTAGCCAAAGCCGCTAAACTTCGATGTTATCTCAAAATAAAATCATAATTGACCTATAAAATTCTAGATATATACGCGCCCAAATTTTCCCTGAAACTAGCAAGTTTACTCTTATTACCCCATAAACCTGAATATTACCTTAATCTGAGAAATTTTCCTCGAATTGGCAGCCCTGGACTCATTCCCTGTCGTTTTTCTGTCGTCACCGCATTCTTGGGAAATTTGATAATTATAAGCGTACGCCTGCTCACTTGCGTCCTCACGTTTTGCTCGTATAGTAAGCGGCTTTGATGACGTCGTTACACGGGCCGTTGAAAATGTACGTAGACAGACGTCACATAAACGTTAGATAATCGTGGTTTGCCTAAATTTAACCGAGATGCTGTCACTCGGCTTATTCACTCCTAGTTGAAGCAAAAACGAAGCCATATCTGGTGACATCTGATGCATCTAGATGTAGAGTAGTGCCTATGTGATTCGATTTATTATTATTATAATTCTTTACTTACCAGCCCCATTTTTTTATGGTGCACAGACATATTATCAGAACGATTGAGATATGCACAAGCAGGAGCCGCTTTGCTATCACTGTAATTTAGTGACAACGCTGGTCGAGCGCGCATTCCTCCACAACACGTGATCTGCTGAGATAGCTTTAATTTCAGCTATCACTACACTTTGCTTCCACTTCAGTTCAGATGCAGCCGACAGTAATGAGCTAATAGTCGCTATCAATCAGCTTTAGAGTGCAAGTCACTGGGCTTTTTTTTCATTTACGATTGATTCAGCGTGATTGAGAACTTGCATAAACTTGACGAACACCATTAGAATGTGATTTTGACTCTATCCTTTTCGGTCCTATCACCTGGTAGTGTCGGCTGCTTTTGAACTCCAGAAAAGAAGTTTTGGCTCAATAGCTTATATCGAATGATTTTTCAGCTGCTTTATTTGGCGTTGTTTCTGTTGCCAATGGTAATACTAACTATCCCGTGAAAAATACAGAAAAGAGGGTTTGGCTCAGTCGCTGTCGATCTTTCGGAATAACTAAAATCTTGGACGAAGTCGCTCGGGAGCATGGAAATTTCAGCTGCACTCACCATCTAGTAAAATCTAAGGTATCATAGCGCCCATTGTTATAAAAACACTGACCCTCTTTCTTTTAAGTACGATAAGTACAATTTGTGTACTCCAATATTGAATAAAAAACGATGAATTTTCTTGCGACCCAAAGGCACCTTGACCCTTTTCTGTGAACCTAGCTTGGCGAATGTTTTGTCTGTAGTACGAAATTTTAAAGGAAGATGAAGTGGCCTCTCCCGAGGACGACTGAAGTTGTGACCTCGAAATTGGGATATCTTTAAATAAACCTGAATCAACTGAAATATTACAGGCGAGGACTTTTCGGATTTCTTTTGATTTAATCAAAAACATGGGACACTAGCCTATAAATTTGTCTTTTCCAAAAATATATGCTATTACGATTGTTCCATTTACATACTTACAGTTACAGTCATCTTGGACTTGGTGAGTTCATCAGGTCAAAACTAAGATTGCGAAGCAGAGTTTCAGCTAGCTAACGTTACAAACCTAAAAGGCTCGATATAGTCCTACGACACGCGGGCGCGCGAAAACATGCACCCTGCTTACGTCACGTTGTCGAAGTGCCGTCAATCTATAACTCCGGCAGTTTGGTGTCGCGATCGTAACAAGTGGTGGCGGCCGGCACACTTCGTCAGCGACGTCGTGAAGTAGGTCTTGCTCTGTTTCGCGCCTTGTTAGCCGGACCAGAATGCTCCGCGTGCGTTCCCCTGGATCGACGCACCTGCACAGTAGCACCCAAACTCCCGGAGTCTGGGAGCGATAGACGCGGGCTGTACAGAGGCGCATATCTCGCACGTAGTGTCTAGCATAGCTAGGCCGACCTCCGCTGGCGACCGCACCGAAGACGGCGGACGATATCGAGCCCTTAACTGTAACTTTGTGCTACCTTTAACTGTGTAATTACAGGTAAAGGAGTTTTAGAACAGAATTGAAGTCCGGGGATCCCCAAGGAGAGTATGATGGAGCGCCTTGGAAACTGCTACGAATCTTGTAAAATGCTGTTCAGAATACAACCTGTACATAGAAGCACATAGTTAAAAGGAAAAAAAAATATGAACGCGCCCCGATGTGATAGCATCCACATTCCCATGATTAGGAGCCCAGAATTCTACTACTACGCCAAAGGGGCACTGGTTGTATGTCGGCGCCAAAGAGGCTGTGATGAAAGCGAACGCCGATCAGCCGACGGCGGCGTTTCGCCTTCGAGCGCGCACGAACAGCGAGTAGAGACCGATGCCACAAGCTTTGCATCTGCTCAATGATCATTTGAATGGAAGCTCGAGAATCTCACGCCCTCGCGCCATCATTCCGCCCTCTTCCTCAGTTCCTTTTCTATGTAACTGCAATCTTAGTCACAAGTTTTAAAGGACGACGCGGCAACATTCTGCGTATATAAATTTTATCCCTAAGGTACAGTCATAATGCACAGGATGTTTCCTTACGGTATACACATAGTGCATAAAACATGGACATAAATTATTGCTGGCAAAAACCTGATAAAAAAAACAGGGTTTGCCCTTGACTATGGAAATTACGTCCATCTTTCTCCCAAGACTGCGAATGAATTCCAATCGGCGTACACTAACTTTCACTTTAGTACTATAAGTGAAGCGAAAGTGGCATTGCTTGTTATTTGGGCAACGCTAAAATAAAAAACAAAAAAAAACTTTTATTTTGGTTTTGTTTTAGTTGTTCCAAGCAGGCATGTGGCTCATCACTGCGACATGCGGACTGACAGCTATCCTGAGCATGTACGAGTGGAACAGGGGTGCGCATCCACCGGAGTGGGCCAAGCTGTCATTCGCCTTCTCCGAACGCCTTCTTTGGGCTATCTGGCTCTCGTGGCTCACATTCGCATGTGCCACCGGAAGGGGAAGTGAGTATGCCTTTAGCGTCTCATGGCACCTACTGATGTAGACCATGTCTCGCCCTACAATTTTTTAGAGCGCAGCTCTTAGTGGCCCGTTTCCAGCCTGAGCGGCGTCGGCGTCGGCGTCGGCGTAACCGGGGGTGGGGGTCACGTGACCCCCCGAGGTCACATGCCCCCCCCCCCCCCGAGGTCACGTGACCCCCCCGCGAGGTCACGTGACTCCCCCGAGGTCACGTGACCCCCCCCTCTTTTGAGACCACGTGACCCCCCTCGGGGTCACGTGACTACCCGCAGGTGACGTGACCCCCCTCAGTACCCTTCCCTACTCCTCCTCAAGAGCTGCGCTCAAATTCGGCGTTACAGGGATTTGTAAACGGCTTTCATTTTTTTTCACCAGAATATTATTGAGAAGTTGTGGAATATCATGACCTCGCAGATAATTATAACGTTTACTTTTAAAAAATTATCAGTCAGCGCGCATGCGAGTTCATGAACACTTGAAAGGCCTGAACATAAGACAGGGGAGGAAAATGAAGATGCTTAAACAGGTGGTCCGTGTTTTGCTTCATTTTAGGCGTCTCGTAATGTTTCAAGTTTGCTGTAAATATTCTAATCCAACATTTCCATGTGATGTAATTAAGCCTGTGAACATTCAGCTTCCTTGTTTTGTTCCTTGTGCTGCGCGTGCCGCCATCCACTTGAAGGACTATTTCCCTTATTGCGGAAAAACATTTTTTTTTCCAAACACTAATGGACATGGTTTATCCCAGATACTAAACGACATACCTTGATATGACTTGTCGTCCAAGATGTACTCAAATATTTGCAAATGGCTTCTTTCTTTCTGCAAAGCCACTAACAAGTCAGATATTTATAAGAAGCCTAATTTCTCCTGTACAAGTACTTTATGCTACGGTCATTGTGCCACGCGGAGGTATGGACGCTCACTTCAATCTTGGTACTGTCAATAGAAATCAAAATTAGGATTGCGCGTTTAGATTGCGCGTTGACGGACGCTCTCAGTCAAGTAAAACGCCAAATAAAAGCCACTCCAGCAATTGAACAAAATATATTTTGAATTGAAAGTGTGTAGAAAAAAAAATATGAAAATAAATATTTTAAGGTGATAGATGAATCTGTTCGAATTTTCGTAACTAAACGTTCATATGGGTTCATCGTGATATTGGCAAGATTTCTAATACAAAACATATCAAAATGAAAAAAAGAACTGCTGCACCGTCCACTTATTTCGGCCATGAAAAGTAAATATTTGCCGTAAAGGTAATATATTATTTACCCTAATAACTCGAGTTCACGTTTTGTCCACGCAATGGTTATATTTGTGATGTTCTTTCACAGGCTTCATCACCCACTTCCTTTCTTGGGGAGCATTCGTTCCACTCAGCCGGCTATCATTCGGCGTTTATTTACTTCATGTGCCATACTACTTTGTTCGCCTCTACACAACGAGAGAAAGGCTCTTTTTCTCACATTTCACCATGGTAAGTGATGAACAAGCTGGGACCGCCATGGGGCCTACGCTTTTTGTTTACGTTACTTGTTTCTACGCATGGCTAAATATGCGCAACAAAAAAAAAAGAGAGACGGACTCAGAAGAAAAAAACACAGACAACAAACAAGCGCCTTTCTACGTGTTTCTCTTCTTATTCCCTATCTTCTTGTGCTCATCTTGATCCATATTTAGTAATCATAGCGACTCGCCGAACTGACCACCCTAACACAGTTTGTTTTTAGACACATACATTATGTTTTTGTGATCCCAATGGTGTACACCAGCTTGGTTGATATGCAGCAGAATCCAATGTTTTGCATAATCATCAGGCTTGCAGCTTAGCAAAGCCAAGGGTTTGAGTGAACCATATAAAGGTGTTTTATAACATTGATCGTAAAGTTTATCAAAAGACCTTGCCTTACAATGAAGTTTGGCTTTAACAAAGGTCTAAAAACCATAAAAACATTTGTAAAAAAAAGTCTAGATACTTCAGGAAGGCGTCTAATCTCAAAATCTGAAAATGCGTATTCGCATTCTCCCTATGGTAAACATTGTTAAACGTTCAACATAGTAAAACTGCGCACAGGCAGACATAAAGGAAAACGAGCTAGTATATTACCGAGCTCAAATCACCACAATTGTATTGTTAACCATTCACTCTTTATGCCGTATTTTAATGATTACATTGTATCAGAGCGAGATTATGATAAAACAATCGTTCTACCAAATTATCGCACATCCAAGTAATTTTGTGTTCTCATTTTCCGCAGTTATGTTCCTTCTTTTATGTTTATATTTGGTGTGTTATGTATCTACGTGCTATTAGAGCACACCCAATATGTAAACGGAATCGTAAGATTACATAGAATGGTTTTAGAACAGAGGAACCCCCCCCCCCCCCCCTTTGGCTGTCCTTAAAATTGGGGAACCAAAACCGCAACAAGATTGGAGCTGCCGGCTTATAGAGCATGGTTTTCCTCAACGCAGCGCTGTGCACGTGCGTTTCAAGCTTGCAGGGCCATTGAGTCTAACAAGCGTGATATTCAAAAAAATATATATATTAAAAAAAGCGTAAACATAAGGTTTTAAAAATAACTTCTTGGTTACAAATAATAGCTTATATAAAGCCAACTGAACCCGGATAAAACACAAGGCAAACTAAAATCAGTTTATTGTTAGAAGTTTTGCGCCAAAATACTTCAATCATTAGCGCTTTATTTTGGCGTCCGTTCTCGGATTATTCGTGGCGTTCGTGTGTCGCGTTTACATTTTGTCGCCAAAAAGTTAGACTTTCAACTATGCAGAAACCGAGACAAAGGCGGTCGAGCATAATCTGCGAGCAGGTTCTTTATTTAGGTCTGAGCTGGAGCGACTCGAAGCACTGTAACACTTGTTTTTAAGCTCCATGTAACGTGCCACGAACGCTCGGCTGATCAAGCCAAGAGAATCGACTCAGGGTATTGGAGTAGCTAGAGTCATTGAATGTTCCCGGAGCACCGAAACTCCCAATCTTTCCTTGAGAGCCGAATCGCAGCGCAGCAGTCACGATCCCAGCATGCCGTTGCACTGTGTACAGTGTAGCGTTCTTTCTCCACCGCGTTCCAGGCCTGAGGCGACACTGGATTGTTTTTATTGAAGTTATTTCCTTCTTTCCGAGCGGTGCCTTACTTCCTTCTTGCTGTCTCATCTCGTCATTTCTCGCCTCAAAATTCATCGAAGTCGAGTGTTAGGCTTAGTGTCACAGGGGTAGAGGTTGAAACGCAGCAGCAGCGCAACCTGAGTGAGCAAACGAGCCGGCAACTTTGTTCGGCGAACCAGATTAGCAGCTACTTGATATAAGGAATCTAGAAAAAATTAACGTACCCTCCGTTCGATCCTAACATATCGATGCCCAGAACTCCCGGCAGTGCGCACCAACTGTAGTCGTGGTAACGTGGAAATGTTTTATATGAGGAGAGCAAGTTCGTCTGCTTCTTGCGCAGGGGGTAGCGGTGACGTCAGAACGCCGCGCCCTGATTGGCTGATCGCGACCCCCCTATCTGAGCGTCGTCTGCTCCTTTGCAACGTCGTCTGCTCGCAATGTAGTCTGCGTCTGTCTTACCTTTCCTGCGTCTTTCGGAAGTGCAGGCGACGATCTTACGCCAAAAATGTGCGTAAGACTTAACTTAAGAACAAATTCGTATTCACGAACCGAAATTTTCGTAAGTTTTGCGCAGGTTAGGACGAAATCCTACGACAGCTCCGAAGCCGGCTTACGCACTTCTTACGATCAAATCAGCATGGCCGACAGCGTCGCGGTCGCGCCGACCCACGGACGTTTATTTTTCTACGTGCGCTTCTCACGCGTCCCGACTTCAAGCAGCAAGAAAAAAGTGAAAAGTACTTTAAACAGACCACGAAAAACAAGAACGCTGGACCCACAAACACCCGGGAAAAGCCCTAACGGCCACGATTCCACCGAACGCGACCAAGCGAGCACGGCAGTTAGGCCTAGCAGGCACTCCGCGACTCGGCGACCGTCTGCCCACGACCGGTTGGTGTGCTGAATGGAATATGGCTGCGCGACCCTTGTGAAGCCTTCCCGTATTATACTTTGATCGCTGACCTCAGTTTTAGATTAAGAGGTCAATTTCTTCCTCTTGTTATCTCCTTGTTTCCCGAGGCAACGGTGACTCTCTCCGGTGAAAAAGCGGTGAATCTCCGACAGACGCAGGAAAGGTAAAGCAGCCATCGCTTTGACTAGCAGACGTAAAGCAGACGAGGTTAACTACGCCAACCCGCCGACGCCGTCAAAGAATGAGGGGTCTCGCCGCACACGAGAGGAGCGAAAAAGTATTTGGGAGGGAACTTGCGGACACTAACACCGCTCACCCCCGTCTCGGTTCTTAGCAAACAAACCTCGGCGCTTCGGGACACCTCGCCAGTGAGTCATTTGACTTCCCTCCTTGATACGCGTCTGCTAGTTGTTAGACAAAAACAACGTACCGCTCGAGTTATTTCGTCTGCCCTCTCTGAAAGGCGAAGTCGAGCTCGCTCGTAAAGACCTGCACTTCCGAAAGTCGCAGGAAAGGTAAGACAGACGCAGACGATGTTGCGAGCAGATGACGTTGCAAAGGAGCAGACGACGCTGAGATAGGGGGTCGCGATGAGCCAATCAGGGCTCGGTGTTTCGACGTCACCGCTACTTCCTTTCTCATGCGCAGAAGACGAAAATGAGCCCACTTGCGGCCCTGATATCGTTTTAGTTGTTTTGGGCCTATCTCCAAAATGGCCGACTGATAACTTCCGCTAAGTGTAAACCATCCAATCAGAACTGAATTCTGAGGGGATTAACTTCCGGTAAGCGGACTAAATGGAATTCGCTACTTTGTAAACATTCAACGACCCAACGGTTAACCTTTAGGCTTAGGAACGGCCAGAATAAGAGGGTGATCTTCAAAATGGGGCGAGCTACCCGCTAATGATTTGTTTTTCGACCAAGATAAAGGGAAGCGAAAGCGGGCTGAACCATTCACCGGCAATGGACGTGGCTAATATGGCAGCGACAATGCCCTATTCAGACCGAAGCGAGCGGAAAGGGATCCGCATGTCTCCCGACGTAACCCGGCCCCAGGCAAATAGTGGCCCCACGCTAATTTTTAAATATTTTGTTAGAGACGAGCGAAAACCCAAGACCCAAATTGCAATGTTGGTTTGCCACTTGCGGAATGATGAGCACAAGCGGCCCCCAAGCTTTGGGTCCCCCTATTCTAAAACGCTCTTATAATTACACAAAATCAGACAAACCCTCGGTATCAAATCTACTCTAATTCAATACAACCAAAACGTCTACGAAAGAACAAATTAAGCGGCTTCATGCACAAAAAGCAAGTCCATAAACATTATGTCGCTGAAAGTAATAAATAAAATGATAAGATGCGATCCTGAGTATGAAAACTAATCACCTGTTTGCTCCTCAACTCATGGCGCTATAGTATATGTCACCTCTTTCTCTCCGACACTACGTTTTTATCGGCGCTCAACTTTCTAAAGCTCTTGTGACATAAACTGTTTAAGTAAGAGATACTCTTTCCTGCACCTTTCTTTCCAGGTGACCCAGTGCTTCGGCGCCCTTGTTACCAGCTACCTCCTCAGCCTCGTGCTGTTCGTCGCGTGTGAGGCACCAACGGGGCGCCTTGAAAAACTAATCATGATGCCTCGCAGGCGGCCCGAGAAGCCGAGTGGGACCAACGAAGACAAACTTTGCGTGGACGACGCATTTAAGAACTTCAGTGCGCCGGACCTGCTCGTCAAGGAAAAAGGAATGCAAAACGGGAACAGGAACGGTGCCATCACTGCTGGACAGTCAAGCTACCTTTGAGTGCCACACCTATGCCTATAACTCATCTTCTCATTGTAATTACCACACGCATGTTCAACTGTTGTTTGTTTCGAAGAGACCGATGTGTTTGCTGCGCGCCTGGCGTTCAATGCTTTTTTTGCTTCTTAAAGAAGTAATACCATGATGTGATCAGCCGTGGGTGATAAGAAAGTAAGGAGGTATGGTTGTCATGAAGCGACATGCTACCTTATAATATTTGTGTCCCTTCAATATAACGTCCCAGCTCTCTTCTATAAAAACCTCAACAAGGGCAGGTAAAAAATAATGTCCTAAGCCTCTTTCTGAATAGACTTCTGCGCCCCTTTGTATATTCGGACATATGAAGAAAATATCACGCGTCCCGGAGGGAATAGTAACATGAAACATACGAAATATTAATATCCGATTATCTCTAACGTTCCTAACATTTCAAGCGTCGCCGATCGGGAGATGGTGCCCGCATTTCTTTAAAAAAGTCATACCGGCGAAACCACCACATGAACACTTACAAAATATTGTTTTTCTAACCTCAGCAAGAACCATTGTTTCTCTAATTATTTTCAGCTGGCACTTCCCAAGATATGTAGTCCTCTTTTTGTCTGTGGTAGGACAATAAACCTTTATTGGGAGTGTACTAGGCTGGTAATATTCATCTTCACATGCTCATCTGCTCTGATAGGGGCAATTGTTTGCATTCTTGATCATAAACATTTTGCTTCTTTGGTAAACAGTGCACTCTTCAATGATGCAACTGCCCCAGCAAATACACAGTATTTCACATGAGCCTAAACTTTTTACGAAGAATGTTGGGGATTTACTCACTCTCAAGATACGTAATCCTCTAAATGTAGTATCACCATGCTGCATTCCAGCGTTCTGAATGAGCCTGAATGAATTTGAGAAAACAAATATCATATTTGCAACCTGCCTATATTGCATGACTTGACTGAAAAAAAAATAAAACAGCAAAACGTTATTATTAGATTATAGATTATTTTATGGTGTGGTTCGCTTCATTGAAGATGACCTCGGAATGCCTGCTCTTTAGGCAACTTGGCGTGAAAATACATCAAATATCTTCGAGACTACAGAAAACTCCGGGGTAAAATAGGAAGGAGACAAAAGAAGACAGCGACCCTGGCGTTAGGGAGTGGACAACTATTTTCACCGGAAATGCAGCAAGTGGGTCTCCGCAAAAAAATTATAATCTATGAAAAATATATATGTACAGCATCCGTAGCTTAAGCTCGTGATATTTGGCGTCTTGGTCTTTTGATGTAAAAATACAGTGCTTGCAGTATCGACCTGTCAAGATTTGCACACCGATTTCGTACAATCTAAATCATACTTAACCTTTTCTAAGTTTATTGACTTACTTGCTTTGTTTCCACCGAGACCTTCCTTATCAGATGTCATTAGCTCTAAAGTGAGCGTAGTCGATAATACGCATCAATTTGTAATAAGATTCACCTGAAATGGCTCTAAATGGTTAAGAGTGAAACAATTATTAGTGATAATTATCTGAGTTTTTGTATGTTTACACATTTGAACGACTTCAAGTCACCTTTGTTTGCCATTACCATCTCTTTTGACCAGATTACCCTTTAATGGCTGCCAATCACCATTGATGATAAAATTAACAATGATCTATTTCGGTGTTAGTGAGAGTACGCTTCAACTGGCTATTATCGGCAATCAACCTCAAGTTATTATATGTTTGCTTGGTATGGCTAGAAATGGATAATAATAATTAATATGAAAACGTCGCGCTATTTCTTTTTATGGACTAAAACAGCTACATGTGGCTATTGTTAGGTTTTTTAATCTTTTTTCTTACCAGACTGGCTTCAAATGGCTAATAATAGGTAGTGGTAAGTATAATATCAATTATCTGCGATTCGAGTGTTATGAGTAAAAATGGCTTCATGTGGCTCTTGTTGGCCATATGCATCACGTTTAAGATAACTTTGATTGAAGTGGCCACAAACAGCTATTAGTGGCTAGTGTTGATAGTTTTGAGCGACTTTCGCGTTTACTAACTAAAATTACTTTAAGCGGCTATTGTTCGGTGTCAGCATCTATTTCTTTCAAGATTGGCTTCAAACGACTAGAAATGGCTATAGTGAGCATAATTAACAATTCTGTGATATGTTAGTGCTTATGGATGAAAGTGGCTATTATTGACTATAAGTATATATTTTTATTAGATTGGCTAGAAATTGCGACAAATGGCTATTTTAGTGACTGGTGTTTTTAGGTATGAACCAGTTTTGCTTTAGTAACTGCAATCGCTTTAAGTTGCTATAGTTGGCTATTAGCTTGTATTTCTGATCAGATTGGCTTCAAATGCCTAGCAATTACAATTTGTGAGTTTAATTGACAATTCTTTGTTATTTCAGTATTCATGGATGAAAATGGCTACAAGTGGCTATTATTGGTAATAAGCATTTGTTTTTAGTAGTTTGAGTGCGTATAGTTTTGAGTTCATTTTGTGTTTACAAACATGAAGTGGCTAGAAATGCCAAATAGCGAGTGTAATTGACAATTCTGTGCGATTTCAGTGTTTTTACACGATAATGTCTTCACGTTGTTATTATTGGCTATAAGCATATTATTTCGTGTATTTCATGATTGGCAACTGAAATGGCTGTTGGTAGTGAGCTATATCTGTGTTTACAAAATGGAATGGCTTCAATAGGATATTAGTGACTTTTAGCATCTCTTTTTACTTATATTGGCTTCAAATGACTAGAAATGGCTACTGGTTCGTATAATTAAATATGTGCTATATCAATGTTTCTGCATGACAGTTGCCTCTAAAAGATAATATTGTCTATGAGCATCTATTCCTAGTGATATCGGTCTGAAATGACTGCAATGGCCATAGTGATTGATATTGCTAAATTTACGCTATTTCTCCATTGAGAAATGAGAAGTGGTAATTGTTGGCTATTAGCACCTAATATTCGTGACGTGGGTTTCATATGGCTAGCATTGGCTATGAGTAGGCATTGGTAGCCAGTTTTGTCAATGGTAATCACTAATAGTCATCCTATAACGTTTCAAGCAGATTTTATTCATAATAAATGCTAAAAGCATGAATTAAAACTCGAAGCGATTCCAGACATGAGTATGATATAGTAGAACATTGCGGATAATAAGCACCAAGGGACTTTTGTAGTAAATTCAATACACTCAAGAAAAGATGCTTATGGCCAATCATAGCCAGTTGAAGTCAACCAAATAGGTAAAGATATCAACTGCAAAAAGTAATATTAATCACAATTAGGCGCATATATAGTCATTTCAAGCCGATGTGGCAAGTAGCAGCAGCTAAACGTCAATAATAGCCACTTGAAATGTATTTAAAAATATTTAAATAGGCCGCCTTTTTGAATATTTGTCAATAATACCCAGTTTGAGGCGATTTAAGCTGAATTAATTATGACTAGATCCAAAGACCTGATATTGTTTAAGCTATAAGAGCTACTTGAAGCCGTATACGCATACATAAACATTGAAATTGAACATTGTTGGCATATCCAACCATGACATAGTTCTTCTCGCATGCCCTTTGCTAAAGAATAAAACTCCCTCTTGTTTCATTCAAAAGGTCCCAAATGTTGGAAAAGAGAACGATGTTGGAATTATGGACTACCTAGGTGAAACTTTTGAGGAATATAGGGTACACTTTTTTGCCTACGACAACAGTAGATGAAGTCTGGGGAAAGTTAAGAAAGATAATTAGCAATGTTACTTCACGCTTCGTTCCACTTCGCACTAAGATTGCCATGAAAAATTTGTGGATTGGGACATCATTCGACTAAAACGAAAGGTGAAATAGCTACGAATAGAAGAGATAACCGCGCAATATTCAGAGATAGCGAACCCATCTCGTCGGCTTCGTCATGCTATCAACGAGTCTAAATATTCCTTTATGAACACCACACTTCAGACTTTTATAACATCAGCACCACAGAAGTTCTGGATGTATATTTCAATAGCAAAATATAGTGTTACAGTGATGTCCTGTTAATATGGACACTTCTGTTCCCGTAAAAAAAACATAAAAAGTCCAAACTTTGAGTTTTCCATAATAACAAGCCAGAAATACATGTATTTTCGCAGTTGGTCCCCGAAAGCGTTGTTCATACACCGGGGTATCCATATTAACGGGGTTTGTATTAACGAGACATGACTGCACCACTATCACTGTTGATTCAGTAACGATCACCAATAGGCTAGATTTGGCAAAAGCTTCAACGAATATTTCCAGTCCGTTTTTAGAAGTTGTGGCGGTGCTCTTCCCACGCTCCCAGTCAACCCGGTGCTTTCAACTTGATGCTGAATATGAACACAAAAAAGTCACCCGGACCAGACGAGATTCCGACCGAATTTTTAAAAAGTGATACTGAATGAATATCCCACTACCTGACAGTTCTATATAAAAAATCACTTTACTGCTGTCAGATCCTAGGGGATTGTAAGTGCGCCAAAATAGTTCCTGTTCACAAGCAAGGTAGCCAATCCCTTGTAGGAAATTCTAGGCCCATCTCATTAATTAGTACGTCGTATAAGTTTCTCGAACATATAATACCTAATCATTTGATGATTTTTTTTTAAAGTAACGGTATACTAGGTGACAACCAGCATGGTTTTCGACGAGGTCGCTCAACATCTACGCAACTTACTGAGGTCACTCATCAACTTAGCTATTGCATAGATAGAGGTGGTCAAACCGACGTGATATTTTTAGATTTTACTAAAGCCTTTGATATCCTTAAGGATCGAACAATAATTAGATGGATGGAAGCCTACCTGCATCAGAGAGAACGAAGGGTCCGTATAAAGGATGAATACTCAAGAACTTGAAGGCCTGTATCTGGGGTACCGCAGGGTTCTGTGCTCGGACCTGCACTTTTTATTCGTTTTATTGGTGACATGGGTAAAGAATTCGAAGAAACTGTACACATTAAGCATTTCGCTGGCAATACGATAAAATTTAGCGAAATTACAAGTTTATCTGAAAAGCTAAAATAAATCCGCATTTGCAAAAAATTACAAACAAATGGTGTGAGAAATGGCAGATATCACTGCACATCAATAAAACCGTTTTTATGACCGACTAAATAGCTAATTACTCTAGTTTTTGATTGCCGTATTGGAAAGAAATCACTCACCAAAGTGACAGAGTATAAGTATCTAGGCGTGATATTCTGTCCGAATCCCTCATGGAACCTTCATGTTGATCAAATAGGCAAAAAGACCACGCAACGGCTCTGGACTTTACGAAGATCTTTACGAGACGCTTGTCCCCAAGTTAAAGTAACTGCCTTCAGAAGCCTGGTCTTACCAGTCCTGGATTATGCTGTCTGGGAACCCTACACATGTAAAAAAATAGAAAAACTGCAAAAAATACAAAACAGGGCGCTTGCCTACCAAAAAACCCAGTATGACTTTTCACTATCTGGATTATGGAACTAGAACTCTATCTGGATCTTATCTATATTTTATCCGGATTCGAGCATTTCCGAAATTATGCCTTTTTCTGCAATCTGGATTACAGGTTTCCAGAAGCAAAACGAGTTAGATTTCCAGTTCCTAATCCAGATAGTGAAGAGGTATTGTAGTGTT